ATGTCTGCAAGCAGGATATGAAAGCTCTTGGAATAAAGGTCAACACCTGGGAAGAGCTTGCCCTCGACAAGTCAAGCTGGCGACATGCTCTGTACACAGGTATGAAAGCCAGCGAGGAAAAGTTACGACAGCTCGCTGATGAGAAAAGATCTCGGAGGAAGAGGATGCAGTTCCAACCAAGACCTGACTCATACTTCAAGTGTAGCAACTGTAGCAAGGATTGCCACTCCCGTGTGGGACTTTATAGTCACAGAAGACGCTGCACAACTACAAACTAGGACACCTTTCATGGGCGCATTTCCATCGTCTCTCGAGACTAACGGAAGCCAACCAGACAATTAAATTTTGTGAACATAAGTGTCATGAATACATCTCTAGCTGTTTGCTTAATTACATTACAATGTAATTATATTTTACCATGGTATTTTAAAGAATGTTTACGTATGTTCCGATTTAACAATTTACCTTGGAGTTTAGAGCACAAATTTACAGGTTTCTGCGGAAATAGTGTTTTGCGGTATCTCCTGTTGGCAAATTTCGTCGTGAAAGGCCAGAAAATCAGGCTAGATAATTTCAGTTGGGTGTTCTATTCCCACCACGAGGCCCACTTCACTCTGACACCTGAGCTGTCGACTAGATAATATCATTTGGGTGTTCTATTCCCACACCACGATTTGTGGCACGAGGCCCACTTCATCCTGACACCTGAGCTGTCGAGAACACACGGGATCCATAATATCATCATCGAAGCCATCTTCGCTAGCCTAGGTTCTGTGATTACCCCTATCTACACTTTGGCGTATTGAGCAGATATTTATCCCCTTCGGGTCTGTGAATTTCACTGGATGCGGCGGCAAGTAACCGCAACCAATCAAATTAAGTTGTTCAAATTTGAACACTGTTCCTATATGATCGAGACAACGTGAGCACACAGCTTGAATGGACTCATGAATAAGCAATTTTCCGTTGCCAGTCCGTGTTTACAAAATATATCTTTCAATCAAATACACCTCTAATGGTTTTCATCTGGTACATAGTCATACTTTCGATGTCTAACTTTCAAAGTATCCTATAAGTCAATTGCCTCCACCATTTTCGCCGATGTACAATGCAACCCAACCCGGTATTGGTAAGCCAGGATTAGATACTAAGGGAGACAACTCGTGAAATCCAATAGATGTCGCCAGGACCAAGCATCAATATATCTGTTCGATCTGCCAAGGTGTAGATATAATTATCATATCTGAACCTTGGCTAGCGAAGATGTGTCGACGCCATTCCTGATATGTACCATTCGGAAGTCAATATCATCTCATTTGAAAAAGTGATTTTACTTTGAAGTTATACTTTTTACCTCTCTCAAACTTGCCCAATATACTCAAGAAACGATTCTTTTTTTACTTTCGATTCTAATTTGATAATTAACATATTTACTTTCCATCTTATCTGAACTTTATTTCATATAAATATGACATTTAAAGCAAAGTTGTGGATAAAATCAGAGTAAGGTAAATGTTTTTATGAAACAAAGACAATGCTTCTACATCTACGGTAAAAACTATGGACACGTTGAAAGCAATGGCTGTACGGTAGACAAAAAGTAGAATATGTCTTAAATAAAGAACTGTTTAAACTATTACAAACATTAATAAAATTGTTGATGTATAGAGCTTTACACTTATAATAACTAATACATTTAAAAATCTAAAATACTGCCATGGCAAGGACATGTGTTAAGAAAACAGGCTTATCAATAAATTCTGCCGACTTAACGCAAATCTCCTTTCTTGATGGGAATTTTGTCTCCTTCCCCAGTAGTGACGAGCGGGGTACACACACACACACACACACACACACACACACACACACACACACACACACACTTACACATACGAGAGAGAGAGAGAGAGAGAGAGAGAGAGAGAGAGAGAGAGAGAGAGAGAGAGAGAGAGAGAGAGAGAGAGAGCATTGGTTGAACCGTATTTAAACTTCATTTAAGTTTTATTGTGCTGAGGCTGAACAATTTTCTACAAGATTATACAGCGCATGTACAATTAACGGAAAGCATTGGGAACATTTCATTTCACCTGGCTATTTATCGTAGCACTAGAGGGATGAAAACCATTTGGTCGTTTTCCATCTTCTAACTGACCACGCTAATCTCGACTGATTAATGCTTGGGCAATCTCTCCCCACCGAGAAAATCTCCGAAGTCCACGCGTGACACACGAAGCCACAGATATCAATACAACTTGAAAGGAATTCCCCGCCCTCACCCGCCGATAAATCCGCGCACGCCTGCCTCGGGGGCCCCTTTAGATACTTAATTAAACAACAGGGTGATTCTAACGCTTACTTAGCGCATTTTGAAGCCGGGTCAATTGAATGGACTTGATACGTATCTTAGGCCACAAAACGTAAATAAAGTAACCTAATTAGGTAATAAAATTTGAACTTTGACCATCACGCTCATTAGCACATTCTTCAGCAAACTGCGGGCACTTGTTCATCAAATTGTCCGCTTCTCACCCTATCTTCCCATTCCTTTGTACCGGGGTAAAGAAGGGCAATAAAATTCATAATTTATTAAGAATGGTCAACATGATCCGGTCTCTTAAGAATGATTTCAGGTACGTAAATGAGGGTCATACACAAGTCTGAACCTATAGTTTTGTGTATGTGGGGACATATGGACAATATATATATATATATATATATATATATATATATATATATATATATATATATATATATATATATATATATATATATATATATATACGTATCTATATATTCACTCACGCATCCACAACAATTTGAATAAAACTAATTGAAACTAGTTGAAACGTAATAAATTTAAAGATTTAATTCCAACCATCCAACCCCATGTAAAGCTTTTAAAAAGACTCATTAAGAGTCGAAAGCTTTTAGGCTAGATAGATACTAGTTTTGAACAGTTCGTTGTCAGTTTATATCATTTATCTTAATTAATCCCTGACACACGTGATCCCATGCTGGATGCAGTGCATATATATTTCGGAAACGGATTTTTGTAATGGTTTTTATACAATTTTTATAATGCAACCTATACCGCACACGAATCCTACGTAGTGGCTTACACGACGAGTCCAACTGCAAATTGTACATATCCAGATTTGTCGTCGCATGATGAGCCTGCAGATCTGGACCTGTGCGCTTTGTTAGGAGTAATCCGTCTAACAATTAGCATAGAGCCTTATCTAGGTAGTTGGACTAAGCACCTAATTAGTAAGTACCTACGACCAGTCTACAATTTGATGAATACATTAACGCGATGGTTCAGTTTTTCACTTCGGCCGAACAATGTATCACCTCGTACACCACGATATCAAACCTGTTTTTAATCGATGATCAGTGAATGCTGTCTTTTCATTTAACTATTTTAGAAACAATCTAATGGAATAAAATTAAAAAGTGTTTCACTCCGAAGGCCTTAGGAACCTGTTATAGGAAATGCATTTATTGGCAATGTAAATGATAGCCAGTTACTACTATCAGGTCAGTGTACAGATTTAAGATGTAAACATTAGTCAATAAGGCCGAAAGGAAAGGAAAGGATATAAAAAAAAAACATTTTTTAAGACAAAAAAAAACTTTAGTGACACGGCTGTTTGCGTATAATAAATTGGAGACACGTTTACTTCAAATTTGCGTCAATGTACTGAACCTTTTGCGGTGACGCTGATAAAATAAGACCATTATATATTCCTTCTAATATTAACTAAACAATTTTTTTCTTATTCAGTCGCAAAATACTTTGTCTTGTCGCAAATGTTCAGCTATGAAAAGCGACAACTATTTATTTTTTTTTCTTTGTCAATACATCAATATATTATATTAGTACCTTTTTCCTATGATAGAGGGCCACAAGGGAGATTATTTTCTTGAAGACTGCGTCACTCTCGAAAAGACTATTACTTTTATTATTATTATTATTATTATTATTATTATTATTATTATTATTATTATTATTATTATTATTTAAAATCTGACGACCAATGCTCCAGAAATTTAACAAGCTATCAAAATTCTCATGATATAATTTAATACCAGAGTATCATTCCGGTAATGCTGTCTTAATTAAAGTATTAAATCTCCACCGGCAACCATACGGGTAACGTGATTATCGTCTTCAAACGTGTTTGTCACCACAATTTGCTGGTCTTAAGCACCTTACCAGATTGCGTCGGCGTGTAATCTTTTGTGGGGAGAAGCAATAAAGATGTAGTATTTTGACCTTTGACATATTTACATCCGCCACTGGCGCAGTAGGTCATTGGTCAAAATGGGAGTCACCATTGAAGAACTAACGCTATTAAACTATAACCCTATTCCAAGTTTTGCAGCATATTTTGACGTTGGATTCTATTTAATTTATATCACGAGCTTCCCACACTAATAAGACACGTGCTTGCATTTGGATCACTTAAACCCTCTTCATAACAATATATATTTCAATTATTACATTTGTTTCTTTTAAACTCCCACTTTGAAGGTTAAACATCATCAAAACAATGTACTTGATCTCCCAGAATTCCAGACTTTGTATATTTTAGGTATTGTTCAAAAACTAATTCCTTTTTTGTGTTATTGATGGGTGTAATATGGGTTATAGAGTAAATTGCAAAAAAGGAGCCCATAACTTTTTTACATTTTATATATTTGGCAATTCATTCATTGCATTTTCAAAAGCTGGCATTATCTAGTGTGGCAAATTTAATTTTCCTTTTTTTAATATTACCAAGGATAGTATACTTTAGACAAATTTAGGTTGATTCTTGGAGCAGAAGGAAGCAGCCATTTTATTTAGCAGAGTGCTAAGATCATTTACAATTTCCAAAAGTACAGTATCCAAAGACATGTCAACCAAACCACATCAAAGTAGCATAGAGGTATACCAACATTCTCCCCACAGTGTATGTTTTAAATGCAAACATCTTCACCTTACAGATAACCGCTCCGGTGGCTTAGTGGTTAGAGCGTCCGCCTAGGATACGGGAGGTCGTGGGTTCGACCCTAGGTTAAGTCATACCAAAGCTTGGCGCTCAACATTAAGAGGTTAGTGTTAGGACCGGTCGACCTGGTGTCAGGAAAATGTGACTGGGTTCATGCTACATGTCTGCGGCATGATGCCCCAGTGCTAGACGTCACTATAAACTGCCACACTGCAGACATCGCAGCGATATGACTGAAATATTGTTAAAGTTACGTTAAATAGTATAATCACCAGATTATGTTCAAAACTCTTAGTAAATATTTACTTTAGTTTCAGACTGCTAACTCTCCCGGCCGTGACTGACTCCGCACCTTTGCAAAAAATCCTGCAGGTGCTCATGATCAGAACACGTTGATGTCTTTCCGACATCAAACGGAAAATACCATAAAATTACTTCAGTAACTGCCATTGTACACACAGGTACCTTTTTCAAATGACATCATATCCACATAACAAACCATATACAGTTTATTATATTGCTAATTTTCTTTTTTCAAGTTTTTTTTGTTTGTTTTAAAGGATGAATTCAGTAGACAGGATTCTTTACTAAACTTATGCAAATTATTCCATAAAGGCACCGTAATGCTGTATACATGTTGTTTTTTTTTTTTGCCACACCAACTTTTGCGTTGTTATAATTGAGATTTTTGCCATTTATGTATGGGCATTACTGATTTAATCTATATACTTCGGATATGGATTTTAGTACAAAGTCATCATGTATTACGTTTGGATCAATACATTCAGGTAGCATATCAGTATCGTAGCACCCCCCCCCAATTCATTCACAAAAAGTCCACCCCAGGCTTTTACAAAAGTAGCAAGAAAAAAGTGAAGAGAACACACTTTATAAATTCAATAATTTGTTTCCCGAGAAAGCAAAGTAAAAATGAGAAAAGGGACTTTATCAATCAAATCCCAAATTAATCCAAGAATTAAAAAATAGAAGCCCTATAAATGAAAAGTCCTAAATGAATCTGTGCTCGAGATCCCAATGAAGTCAAAATGGATGGCGATGAAGCACGTCGTGCCCTTCAAAGTGTTACCATACTGGTTAGTTATTAAGTAAATGGTTATACAGTAAGTTAAGACGTAAAACAGATCCCGTATGAGGGTCACGTTTTCGCCTTTTAGAACAACGTAGAATCCGTTTTACATGCCATTTACATGCTATTACGTATTTTAGGTATGGCTTTGATTCCACTAAATTAATCGTACCCTTAGAATGAATACATTTGAAGGGAAAAAAAAAACAAACAACAAATAAACGTTGTTTACTAGAACTCTGATTTCTAAATCAAGACCAGAAACTAGATACAATGTGTTTCAACTACTATTTGTTTATCATTTCAAACATAGCTGAACTGAAAAAAAAACCAACAAAAGAAATATCAAATCTAGTAGATAAAGTTATTATTACAATAACATGTAATGGAATAAAATAATTTTTTTGCAACTTACTAACAAATAATTAAATTATATATACATAACAGTAGTTATGATATGAATAAAATGAAGAACAATATGGAATCATATTAATTTTGCTAAACCAGTTACGTCAAGCACTGGTGGTGTTGGCCAGGAATGCTTGGAGATATTCAGATGCACTTTCAGGCCTGCGACATTTGTCAAATGGCAGCAAGGAGAACAGGGAAGGAGAAAGTTCCAATAGTATATCCAACAATTGTATCTGACCCTTTTGTTAAGATTGCGATGGATATGGTTAGCCGACTACATCGCACAAAGGTCGGGAACAAATATATACTAACCATAGTAGATGAAGCCATCCTGTATTCGGAAGCAATTCCTTTGAAGGACATTGGTGTTAAAACAGTGGCCAACACTTAAATTGGTCTATTTAGTCAGTTGGTTGATTGATTGATTGATTGAATTTTAACGGCGCACCAGCACTTTTAGGCTATTTAGCGCCATACAGTAGGTCATATTTGTAAAAAGGTTCAATATCGACCAGCGATATAGTAAAAAATCCATAGTAGATAAATATAAAATGGTAAATGTTGGTAACAGTTAAAGATATTGGTTCACGATCAACGGGAGATGTAAATGATGTATCTTGATGAAAAGATGTAAATAATAGTTGGTATTTGTATTAGTTAAAAATTAGTTTGGGTAAGGTCATAAAAAGTTACAGTTTAAAATAAAGATTTACTTCCTTTAGGAAATCTAAAATACTAGTGATTTGAATAGTATCAAAAAGTTCCTGCATGTCGTGTACATTATAGTATTTATCACGCGTAGGTTGCAGGTCGGAACACGTGGTCATAAAGTGTTTAACAGTAAATGGTACATTGCAAGGAACGCACTCTGGTGGATCTTCACCTTTTAGTATGTTGTATTTTAGTCAGTTGGTATACATGTAGTTAAGATTATCTTTCAAGACCAAGGGACCAGCTTCACAAGTAATCTTCTAAAAGAACTCTTTAAGATGCTGAACATCACGGTAATAACAACCTTTCTTTACTGGCCGCAATCCAATGGAAAGGTCGACAGATTTAATGGCACACTAAAGGCTGTGATGAAGAAACTGTTAAACGAATGGTGAAGAAAGAGATGTGATCTTTTCTTACACACAACTTTGCTATAGGGAGGTACCATATGAGGCAACTGGGATTTCGCCGTTTGAGCTGCTGTATGGTTTGACCACTAAGAGGGACTATGGAGATTCTTAAGGATCTAGTTAACATCGAGGGTTAAAAACAGAAGTCAGTTGTAGAACAAGTGCTTTCGATTAGCCAGAGATTGGTTGATGTAAGCGAGTTAGTGAAAGAAAATCTGACTATGTCACAAGAAAGTTAGACCACGGTACTACAAAAATGCTACCAAAAGGGAATTTAGGCCGGGAGATGTGGTTCTGGTTTTACTTCAATCTGATGCATCGAAGATGAAAGCTTACTGCAAGAGAATTTATAGTGTCATTCGTAAAGTAAATGACGTTAATTACAACATTAACATTGGTAGTTGGCGAGGACAAGTGACCAACCTATTACGTCAGTACAAGAGAGCTGTGCTGTTTTCAGCAACTGTTTGTGGAGGAGGACGGATTGACTTTCCACTGGTTGATATTGAGAGTTTCCACATCAGTCTGAATGGCAGACTGACACAAGAACAGTGAAAACAGGTGCGAAAATTATGCTCTGAGTTTGAAGACGTGTTAACTTTAAAATCGGGTAAAACCAACTTTATCACTCACAACATTCGAACAACAACAGACATACCGATCACGCAGAAACCCTATCGTATTCCCCATGCAAAAAGGACTAAATTTAGAGCTATAGTAGACAAAATGTTACAGCAAGAATCGATAAGACCATCTATAAACTCATGGAGTAAACCAATGGTACTTGTTCATAAGAAACATGGAAGTCTGCGATTTTGTGTTGATTACAATATATTTAAAATCACACTTTTCAGTGCCTATCCTACACCAAGGATAGACGAACTTTTTGAGAAGTTGGGAAATGCAAAATATATTTGCAAACTCAACGTGACCAAAGGTTACTGGCAGGTATGACCGCCTGTAGGATCTATCAGAGAGATCGTGAGAAAACAATCTGACAGTTAAACCTTCCAAGAGTGACATTAGGAAGGATAATATTGTTTGCTTTGGTCACATTGTTGGTGGAGGACAAATTAAACCAGATGACGCCAAAGACAAAGCAATGTTTGACTTCTCACTCCCAACAACAAAGAAAGAGGTTAGATCGTTACTTGGAATGGTTGTCTATTATAGAAAATTCATCAAGACTTTCTCTCAGCACTCGGCTCCGATTTTTATTTTCAAGGAAGGGACATCCAAAAAGTGTTACACGGGATGATGCAGCTGTTAAATCATCTTGATCAACCCTGTTTTTGAAAGTCCACTTGTACTGCAAACTGACACAAATGACGTCAGCATTGGAGAAGTTTTGAGTCAGTACGATGACCATAAGGACGAACATCCTATTGCGTATCTTAGCCGCAAACTATTGCCCAGGGAGCAGAATTATTCTACAATTTTGAAAGAATGCCTTGCGATACCATGGAGGATATAATCACTTCACTACTAACTGTGCAGTGATCCATTCAGCGTCGATACGGACCATACCCCTTGAATCAGGCTAAGCCAAAACAAAGATACCCCCCAAAGAAACCAACACCACCCACCCACCCACCCCCCGGCTTCCGAGATGGTCTCTGTGTCTGCAATCTTGCGTTCACGATCAAACACCGTCGGAGAGTAGAGAATGCAAACTCTGATGGATTGTCTCGTTCTGGAATCTAAGACTATGTGTTTTAGCGTTCATTCTTGTTGGAATTATCTGAATTAAGACCCATGTGGATTTTATAATATTTCTTGTGTAATTACGTACGTTCGTAATGCAGATCAGTTCGATGATTTTCAGTGAATCTAAAATGTTTGTTTTTGATGTGCTAAGTGTTGTATTCAGAATATAGAAATATATTTAGTAAGCCATTGAATGCTTGCACTTTATATTATTTGATAGAACTGATTGCCAGTGTAATGATAGAACCTAAATTTCATGAAGTAAGGTGTTTCCACCATATTATTGCTTAAATTTCCCTCCTATTGTATAAATAGTGATCATCATTAGGATAAGACAAATTGGTGTATATGGTAGTTTTAGTTTAAAGGATTTTAGGCGGTCAGATATGGTAATGGTAGAAACAAATTCTACATAGTTCTCACATATGATACTGTTAAAGAGTCTGACCCATAGTACTTGGAGTCTGTATTTGTCATCACTATAAAAGCAAGAATTTATGCTGTTAATTAACACTGGCTTTGTTTCCATTCTGTAGTTTTGATAAAAGTATTGCCCTGATGTAAAACTACCAACCTGTTATGTGTAAATGGCAGTCGTCTTGAACCCTACCTTGGGTGAACATTTAAAATTGGTTATGTATATATTTTGTCTTGGATGTTTATGTTTGCAACTTGTGTACCCCGTAATAATATAATATAATATAATGTGATGTGATGTGATGTGATGTGATGTGATGTGATGTGATGT